AGAGGGAATGTTTACAGAAGGCAGAACTTATGAAACATTCAAGCGGAAGCGGATGTTGACAGCGGTGTGCCACTGGGTTTTCAGATTTTAACGTTGTTGATATGATGATGTTGCCCATAGCTATTACATGGAAATCTATGTTTGTTAGGAAACAAAGTTAAAGATCTGGGAGGCCGTGTGCCATGGTGATTCCTAAATATATCCTTTGAAAACATAGTTTAAACATATGTGAATACCTCAGTGTGCGCAATGTTTTCTTCATTTTTGGAGATATAACAACATTCCTTGAAAGCCGGTGTGCCATTGGGATTTTGATATTTTGATGTGACTTTTGCCCAGTTGATGTGACTTTCTTCCAACTCGCTGTTACATGGGGTTGATGTGACTTTTGCCCAACTGATGTGACTTAAACCCTTCGCTAGTATGTTAAATTACCAGAGGGTAAAACTCGGGTACCCTTTTATTCACATCAACCAATAAGTTGCTTTTGTTTTTTAATCCCCCCAAATATCGTAAAATGTAAACTATAGGAATCGGGTTGTACCCATCTCCATATCAGTGTGTCATCTTGATATGATACGGAGATTGTAAACAATATATTGCATAATGTACATAACATTATACCATGCATGATTATACATGTTTTGTACCATATTATAATACCATATATAACATAATACACTATGGTATACCATGAACATTATACCAATAAGGTGGAGATTGTATATAACATTATACCATATTATACCATAGTGTACAATACAATCCCCACCTGGTGTTAACCCATCCCGTCTACGACTCTAAAAGCGCCCAGGCAGTGATGATTTCGCACGCCTGGGACGAGAGCTTCGTGGATTTGCTGCTGGCCCTGTCGGTGGCACCTCAAAAGGGGCCGTTGTGGGTTCGGGAACCTGGCGCGGGCACGCAGGGAGGTGGGTGAAGCTGCTGAGCCACGGATTCATTGGAGACAACTTAAACAGAACAAGCATCCAATGGAGAAGGCTTTGCGTTCACTTGGATTTAAAGCAACCATATATATATAATATATATCCATATCTAAATCCAACAATATGATTGGTTGAAACCAATTCATCAAACTATTCAATGATTTAAACCAACCATATATACTAAATATACTGCCAATGACCATTGAATCCATCATCAGTGGTTAATGCACAGACAATGCAGACAGACCCAGCTGGGCAAAAAATGGGGACCTTGGGGACCAGGTGGCCGCTACTGCCCTGTACCAGTCCGAGGACAGACTGTCAGACCCTCCTGGAGGGGTGGCAGATCAGATGGGGCATCCCCGATGATTAATAGCTATTGAATCTGGTTGATCTATGGTTAATCTATGGTTAATCTATGGTTAATCTATGGTTAATAATGGGAATAACAATATAATCAATATATCTGGTTGGCGGTTTGGAACATGAATGGATTATTTTTTCCATAGATTGGGAATGTCATCATCCCGACGAACTCATATTTTTCAGAGGGGTGGCTCAGCCACCAACCAGACTTGGTTGGTGATCTGAAACATGACATTTGCCATACCTTGGACATGTGAGTTGCTTCAAACAGGAGCCCCACATTATCATGATGGATGGTTAATTATCATGTCGTTTCCTGTGCACCGTTTCAACATATCCTGATGAAATCTTGGGTCATTGGTGATTTCCACCTTATCCAACCATTCTACATCCGCATACCATCGAAGAACGCTTAAATGAACTATCTATATACAGTAATACTGTCAGCAAACAAAGCAATAGAAGACATGGGATGACATGGGAAAATCATCAAGTCTAATTGACATGATAATTTTAATATATATATATCTGGTTGGTGGTTTGGAACATGAATGAATTATTTTTCCATAGATTGGGAATTTCATCATCCCAACTGACGAACTCATATTTTTCAGATGGGTAGCTCAACCACCAACCAGAGGGTATGTTCTAAATCCAGTAGGTTATCAACCATTATTAATGTGAGATGGTTATTGTTCAATATTAGGTTCCCAATTTTTTCATATTCACCATGGACCTGGTCAACCACCAACCAGATATATACATACATATATATATATATATTATAATGCTACCTCACTTAGACCTCAAGAGACTCTCCGAGTTTGATCACACAGATCCCAGCTCCAGGAGAGTTTGCTCCAAATCCTGGTGCAGCCCTTGGAATTGGTCAACCAGGTGCCGCGTTCACCGGGCGTTCACCGCGGAAAACGGCGCAATATGTTTGGATCGTCACTGGGATCTTCTCATCTTATGATCATCTGCTTGGTGGTTTGGAACCATGGAATTTCCTGGTTAATCTATGGTTAATCATTGGAATAACAATATATCTGCTTGGTGGTTTGGAACATGAAGTTTAGCCTCTGGTAATTTGTTACATAGCTATTGAACATGGCATTTTTTAATGGGAAAATCAACTATTTTGACTGGGCCATTTTCAATAGCTATGTAACAAATTACCAGAGGGTATTTTTCATGATATGTCCTTTTATTGGTAATGTCATAGCCCCAACTGACGAAGCCATATTTTTCAGAGGGGTAGGTTGAAACCACCAAGCAGTAATTAATATGGGAATCATATGGGATATGAATGGTGGATATTTACTGTGACATACTGGGAACATATTTTTAAACATAGAAAAATATGTGGAAAACCCAGGAGTTCATGTTCGGAAAATGATCTACTACTTAAAGAGAGGGGTCTCTATACCTTTGTTGGTTTACAGGAAGGTAAATTTCGAGGGGTTGGCCAGAAACAGCCAGGAGGTTTCCAGATGTTTCAACTATATATGTTTTAAGATGTTTTACAGAAAGCACAAACATGAAATGATGTTCCCCAATCTTTCATATATGTAACTGGTCGGTGGTTTGGAGCATTTTTAGTTTTCCATATATTGGGAACAATCACCCCAACTGACTTTCATATTTTTCAGAGGGGTAGGTATACCACCAACCAGGTAAATACTGTGTATGTAATATGTTTGGGATAGAGCTACCAACCAGAAGAGATAAAGCCGGACCTGACATTTCTAGACAGCACTTGGGGCCTGGCTCATAAACAAAGCAGTGGAACCAGTTCGCATATTCATCATGTTTTCATCGTATCTCTATTATATCCCCATTCTATATTCCCATATAGTATATCAGTCTTTCCCATTCTTATAACATTCTTCTAACCTAACTATGTTCTATTTGTATCATTTTGTTATATCTGATCCCATCTTCACTATCTTTTCCCTGGTTGGTGGTGACTGGAACATGAATGGATTATTTGTCCATTCAGTTGGGAATGTCATCATCCCATTTGACGAACTCCATCATTTTTCAAGATGGGTAGGTATACCACCGACCAGATATATAATATTATAATAACCATCCATTAACCATCCATTAACCATCCATTAACCATCCATTAACCATCCATTAACCATCCATTAACCATCCATTAACCATCCATTAACCATCCATTAACCATCCATTAACCATCCATTAACCACCATTAACCATCCATTAACCATCCATTAACCATCCATTAACCATCCATTAACCATCCATTAACCATCCATTAACCATCCATTAACCATCCATTAACCATCCATTAACCATCCATTAACCATCCATTAACCATCCATTAACCATCCATTAACCATCCATTAACCATCCATTAACCATCCATTAACCATCCATTAACCATCCATTAACCATCCATTAACCATCCATTAACCATCCATTAACCATCCATTAACCATCCATTAACCATCCATTAACCATCCATTAACCATCCATTAACCACCCATTAACCATCCATTAACCATCCATTAACCATCCATTAACCATCCATTAACCATCCATTAACCATCCATTAACCATCCATTAACCATCCATTAACCATCCATTAACCATCCATTAACCATCCATTAACCATCCATTAACCATCCATTAACCATCCATTAACCATCCATTAACCATCCCATTAACCATCCATTAACCATCCATTAACCATCCATTAACCATCCATTAACCATCCATTAACCATCCATTAACCATCCATTAACCATCCATTAACCATCCATTAAGCATCCATTAACCATCCATTAACCATCCATTAACCATCCATTAAGCATCCATTAAGCATCCATTAACCATTAACCATCCATTAACCATCCATTAACCATCCATTAACCATCCATTAACCATCCATTAACCATCCATTAAGCATCCATTAACCATCCATTAACCATCCATTAACATCCATTACCATCCATTAACCATCCATTAACCATCCATTAACCATCCATTAACATCCATTAACATCCATTAACCATCCATTACCCCATTAACCATCCATTAACCATCCATTAACCATCCATTACCATCATCATCCATTAAGCATCCATTAAGCATCCATTAACCATCCATTAACCATCCATTAAGCATCCATTAAGCATCCATTAAGCATCCATTAACCATCCATTAAGCATCCATTAACCATCCATTAAGCATCCATTAACCATCCATTAACCATCCATTACGCATCCCTTAATCATCCTTAACCATGCCTTAACATCCATTAAGCATCCATTAACCTCCATTAACATCCATTAACCATCGCATTAACCATCCATTAATATCCATTAAGCATCCATTAACCATCCATTACCAACCATTACCATCCATTAACCATCCATTAAACCATCAATTAACCAGCCATTAACCATCCATAGCAATCCATTAAGCATTATCCATTAACCATCCATTCACCATCCATTAACCATCCCTTTACCTGCCGTAAAGCCTCCATTAACCATCCATTAACCAACCATTAACCATCCATTAACCATCCATTAACCATCCATTAACCATCCATTAACCATCCATTAAGCATCCATTAAGCATCCATTAACCATCCATTAACCATCCATTAACCATCCATTGAAATGAACCTCCATCGTCCCTGCGAGGCGCGTCATGTCTAAGACCCCGGAAGTGCCGAAGGAGGGCCCAACGTTGCTCAGCGGAAGTTGGAGGAAGCCATGAATGATGGATATCTATATCTCTATGTATATTGTATAATAATATGGGTATATATTCGATGTTGTATTTTGATGTATTTTGTATATTGCATGTTCTTTAATATATATATATAAAAATGTACACATACGCACATGTATCTGTATTTGTATATGTATACTTATGTGTTTATCCATATGTGTCTGTATATGTATATATATGTATATTGTAAACTGATGAAAACTGTATATGTATTTTGCATGTAGATGTAAATGTAGATGTATATCTATGTGCATATGTATCTACATGTATATGTGTATCCATCTTTTTGTGTATATGTATATGTAAATGAATATGAATGCGAATACGTATATGCATATGTACATGTATACGTATACGTATATGTTATATGTATATGTGTATGTATATGTATATGTATGTGGATGTGTATGTGTATATGTACATGTATATGTATTTGATATTATATGCATATATACATATATATATATATGTATATACATATATATGTATATCCATATGTGAATCATATGTGCATCCGTATGTCTATCTTTATGTTAATTTAATGTCTATGTATCTGTATGTGTATGCGATTGAATGCGTATATATATATATATACATATGTGTACGTGATTCATATGTTTGTGTATATGTATATGTATGTGTATATGTATATGTATGTGTATGTGTATATGTGTATCCATATGTTTATCTTTACGTAAATGTCTGTATACATGTGTACATACAGAACGAGACCATTGACCACACTGAGATTAAGTTGATGGTATTGGTGATTAGTTCACGACATTTTGGTGGTATTCCATGATCAATCGGGAGGGGTATCACCAGCAAATGTTGGGGTCTCAAAATGTGGGACTTACCCTGGGAAACACTGCAACCTGAACCATGGGAAACAATATGATGAACCGTGGGAACCATGTTCAGTTCCCAATTTTGAAACAAAGCCAGTGCTTCAATGATCTTCAATGCATATCTGCCCATATCTGCCCGAGTGCTGGACTCACCAGCACGCTACCTCACTGTCCAATCTGTCCAATGATCTGCAAGTACAGAGGAATCAGCCTCAAATTAAATGGGGATAGGTCTAGCAATTCTAGTTGGAATGAACATCCACAACCTACTTTGGCTTAACACCGGTGCCAGGCTTTTGAATGGCTTTCACCCATAGCAAATGGACTAGCATTTCGCAGGATTTTGGCTGGTTACCGGATAAGCGGTGTCGGCGACCCCCTTGGACCATCATTTCGTATGACGTTTTGGCAGAGGATTGGTCAGATCGGAAAATCCAGTCGGAAACTCTCCGATTTTTTCCACATTTTTCCCCATTTGCAAATGATGTTAGTTTCTTACCCGGCCTGGTCAACATTCACAGTTTGCCATTTTTATGCCATGGCCCAGTCGAAAAATCGTTGATTTTCCCAGCTATAACATGGTGATTTACCCATAGTTAACCAGTGATTTTCCATTAAATATGGTGATTTACCCATTAAAAATTGCTGATTTTCCCATGAAAAATGGTGATTTACCCATAGTTATAGTGGATTTTCCTATTGAACATGGCCATTTATAGTTGATTTTCCCATGAAAAATGGTGATTTCCCAGCGTTTTTTGTCTGTTTAGAGGGTCAAAGCTCCATTGTTCCTGGGGATGTCCGGTCCCCGCGCCACGGTGGAGGTCCCCGCGCAGCGATGCCTCCAACATCTCTGCCTTCTCTCAGAGGTCGGCGAGTTCTGGTGGTAAGCGTCGACTTTTAGGAATGGAATGGATGATTCCACAAGCAAAAATCAGAAAAAAATCAGAAAAAAATCAGAAAAAATCAGCAAAGATCATCAAAGATCTACTTTAGGAATGGTTCACATCTTTGTTTTGGATGATGTTTCGAGATCATGGAGTTGTTAGTTGTTGCCCTTTTTTGCGCTTTTTCAAGCGCATGGAAACAGGGTTGGATGCATTAAACTTGGTAACACTTTGAATGGAAAGAGATCAGAGGGTAGGTGCGTCAAATAACCATGAGTGGATCCCAAAAAGGGCAGAACAAGCAATCTGTGATGCAGATTTTATTGAAGATGTTTTTTGTTTCCATTTCTACAACTGGTTAATAATCTATATTTTCTACGCAAAGTGGTCGGTAACCATTAGTGAATCTTTTTTAGTGGTTATATATATCCGAGTCACATCTTCCATTTCTTTTAAATTGAAGCCCTACATTCAGATTTTTTGGGTGATTCTCCCAGGCCTACAAGGCTTCTGGATCTGCTGCCAGTAGCACCATGGCTGGGGGTCCTGAGGGAAGACCTGGGTTGTGGATTTGGGTTCACCGCATTAGCCATTACAACAGTAAACAGGGCTACTGAACCCAAAACAGGAACGCATTCCAATAGTCTGTTGATCAATTATCTACATGTGAACATACAGCGATAGTGACACGTCCTAAACAGCATGATCCCGGACCATTTGGGTGATAGGCTCAGCATAAGTTTAGAGGCACTGCAAAATTAACACAACAACGGGATAAGATGGAACCATGTATATGCACACACACACATGTACATCTGTTACATACATGGACACAAATATCAACATGCGCAACACATGTTTTACATTTCTGTTACACAAAGTATGACATATATATATATATATGTAACATACATATTATATATAGATATAATATATACACATCACATGTATATATATATATAGTAACCCCCAAGAATATAGAAAAGTAAAATCCTACTACAGTATAGTGATAAATATCACTTTTCTATCATTTTGGGGTTTACTATATATACATATATATACATATATATATATACACATAATTTATATCTACACTTCCATGCTCAGAGAGATTGGGCCAGCAACAGGTGCGGAAAATGCCTTCCGCAGCCCCCCGATGGGCAGCTACCGATCAAGCCGGAGGAGTGCCTTGTCTAAGCGGCACCGCGGCACCGTAGGGAAGGTTCCAAGGGGGCTTACCATGGTTTACCATGGTTTAGCCCGAAGTAAATGAACTTAGTATGATTTAATGGATTTACCCAGCACAAAAAAGTGAGTAGACAAAAAACATGGTGAAATCACGTGCTCTATCCACTAGTTTTAGTTTTTTTTAAACCGTAAACCGTGTTCAGTTGACGGAATGTTCCATGGCCAGGTAACATTACGCGCAAACACCCTGATTCGCCCACACCCCTTTTATACCCTACCATTGGGTTGACTTTACATGCAATTAGGAAGATAATGTCCCACCCCCGTTAAACTTCTACATTCAATGGGGAAGATCAACAAGGGTATTTAGGGAATATTAAACTCCCACCCCCGTTAAACTTTACATTCAATTGGGAAGATCAACAAGGGTATTTGGGGAATATTAAACTCCCACCCCCGTTAAACTTTACATTCAATTGGGAAGATCAACAAGGGTATTTAGGGAATATTAAACTCCCACCCCCGTTAAACTTTACATTCAATGGGGAAGATCAACAAAGATTGTAGGGAGTATTAAACTCCCACCCCCGTTAAACTTTACATTCAATTGGGAAGATCAACAAAGGTTTTAGGGAATATTAAACTCCCACCCCCGTTAAACTTTACATTCAATTGGGAAGATCAACAAGGGTATTTAGGGAATATTAATTTCCCACCCCCGTTAAACTTTACATTCACGTCGGAATATCAACAAGGGTATTTAGGGAATATTAAACTCCCACCCCCGTTAAACTTTACATTCAATTGGGAAGATCAACAAGGGTATTTAGGGAATATTAAACTCCCACCCCCGTTAAACTTTACATTCAATGGGGAACATCAACAAGGGTATTCAGGGAATATTAAACTCCCACCCCCGTTCAACTTTACATTCAATTCGGAAGATCAACACGGGTATTAGGGAATATTAAACTCCCACCCCCGTTAAACTTTACATTCAATTGGGAAGATCAACAAGGGTATTTAGGGAATATTAAACTCCCACCCCCGTTAAACTTTACATTCAATGGGGAAGATCAACAAAGGTTTTAGAGAATATTAAACTCCCACCCCCGTTAAACTTTACATTCAATTGGGAAGATCAACAAGGGTATTTAGGGAATATTAAACTCCCACCCCCGTTAAACTTTACATTCAATTGGGAAGATCAACAACGGTATTTGGGGAATATTAAACTCCCACCCCCGTTAAACTTTACATTCAATTGGGAAGATCAACGAAGGTTTTAAGGAATATTAAACTCCCACCCCCGTTAAACTTTACATTCAATTGGGAAGATCAACAAGGGTATTTAGGGAATATTAAACTCCCACCCCCGTTAAACTTTACATTCAATTGGGAAGATCAACAAGGGTATTTGGGGAATATTAAACTCGCACCCCCGTTAAACTTTACATTCAATTGGGAAGATCAACAAGGGTATTTATGGAATATTATGGAATATTCTTACATATAACTGGCAAAACCCTCAATCTTTATACTTAATTGGGATGATGTTTTTGAACTTGCGTTGCCCAAACGCCGCTGAGACTGGCCCAACATGCAGTACATAGAGTTGCCACCCAAGGCGAGGGAAATCATCAGATCATGGCTCGACATCAGATCGCAGGATGTGTTGAGCACCACATGCTGGGTTGAGGATCCGGTATCAATGGCTTTGCTCCTTGACTTAACACTGGAACCTTGGGATGGAAGTTGCTACCTGGAAGATTTATACTTTAGCGCTGGAACCATTGGATAGAAGTTGATACCTAGAAGATATTATACTATCTAAATACAACATGGCACCAACATGAACCCATTCATAACCTTCACCCCAAGAAACAACATCCAGTGCTGCATCAGGCTAGCACAAGACTTCGACAAGAATCCCGTGGTCACTGTGCAGCCCCAGCCAAGAAGGCGGGTCGACCGCGCTCGCTTCAAGATCCCGACCAAGTGAGATGGGCAAAAGTGGCAACAAGGTGGAGAAGCATGTGCGACTCGGCAAATGTGGCAAATTCGGCAAAAAGGTATCCGCGAATCGTGCTTTCAAGAAAAAACATGGCGTTTCTTATTCCGGAAGAACTACAGGAACACCTGACACTATGAAGTTAGCTGATCTGGACATACCTTCATACGAAGAGATAGCTGCTTTGCGTGATGAGACAGCAAGACGTTTGCTTATAGACAAAGGCTTGCTACACCACAACCGGCATGACTTGAGCTTCAAGTGCTGGAGCTGTCAGGCTCCAATGGACAAAGCTGGAAAAGGCTACAGATGTTCTGCCGGGAGAACCTGCAAAAGTCGACCCAGAATTGAAGACCCTCTTCTGGCATTCACGCCTTTTGCTGGTTACAAACGCAGGTGCGAACGTCCAAACTACGTGACATTCGTGCGCTCTGCCTATGCCTTTGGTTTGCGCATGGCTCCAGACCAAGCCGTGCATATGACCCGCACCAAGGACACATCTCTGGTGGCACAAACCAAACGCATCGAGCACTTGTACCAGAAGCATCGCATCGCTTTAGCCTTCAGTGAGTACTTGCACGCGGAGACGCTCAAGTTCCCAACGGAAGTGGTCGAGGCTGACTCGGCCAGATTTGGGAGCGGCTATGAATGTGGAAAACGAATACATTCTGGCAGGATGCTGGTCCTCAAAGGGCGTCAAAGCAAACAATGGAGTAGTCAGCCACTCCCTGTCAAAGTGAGCAAAGGCAAACGAGGGATGGGACCGGAAACCGTCGAAGAAGTTTCTGGACCTATCCAAAAGCAGACCCCTGCTTCAGCTCTTCTTGGGGTGGATGGTGCAAGAGCATAGAAGGGTGCTGCTGCTGGCCGAATCGTTCTAGGCGGCGTAAATCACCAGACCAAGGTGTTTACGCCAGCCTCCAAGGTCAGCAAGCAGAAATTGCCCGCCAAGACCAAGAAGTTTCTGGATAAGCAATCCAATGGTAAACGGAAAGGAGCCGGAATGTACCAGAGGCACTTCCGCGTCGCGGGGGGCGACAATTGTGCTGAAGGTATTTTCGGGCATCTTGCCAATATCATGCGAAAGACAAACAGCAGAGGTCGACACGCCAAGCCTCAGATGCGGACTCTACAGGCTCAAAGCAGCGCGGCACTGCTACGCCGTCCAGGGTTTCTCAATGTGTTGCTTGCGCATGCAAAATACAAGGAAGCTTTGCTCACTGGTCGCCTGGGAGTCAGTCCCAACCAGGCCTACAACTTCCACCAATGTTGGTGGCTTCATCCTAAAGAGGATAAGGAAGCCTCGGAGTGACAACTATAAGCCAGTCCAGGGGGGAAAATAAGAGTGTCCTGGGAAGTATCTTCCGGTAGTCCCGATGATGGATGCTGATGGATGAAGGATGATGATGATGATGATGGTGATGATGATGATGATGATGTTAATGTTAATGAATGTTAATGTTGTTGTTGTTGTTGTTGATGATGATGATGATGATGATGATGTTAATGTTGATGATGATGATGATGCTGTGTAAAAGCCGCGCACAGGTCAGGGACCTGTGCGTTGAGATAAACAACTTCAAGTTACCGGTCACGCAAAAAACTCCCATTTTTACCACGTTTTCAGCACGTCGGAAGATGGCCGCCGAAAAGCGCGGGCAAATCAAGGTGTTTGGCCGTAACATTACTGTTTTGTTTTCCCCCGTAAAGCGAAGGACAAGATGCAGGGAGTCACCAGTGTGGGACCTTTGCTGCAAGCAACAGATTCTTTCAGATCGAGATTAGAGTAGTATGGGCAAAACGATGCCATAAACCAGCTATTTGGGAATGGTTTATTATTGTTTTACGCGCATTACTCACCAAAGATTTAGATAGGTCACAACGACCTCATGTCGCGACTGGAACGGTGGTTAGGATTGGCCTCACTATCCCAAAAATGCCTGAACTATTCAGGTTGGTGAATTATTGGGGGTTTCAAAAAATGGAGGATCCCCAAAATTCCAGCGGTTTCAATAGTAAAATGGTCGACCATGACTTGGATGATTTAGAGCTACACCCGTGACTTAGGAAACCTCGTAATAGTTTGTCAAGAAACATTCGCTACGGCAACCGTGAACCTTTGGATGACTTTGCGGCGACTTTGCGATTATTGGAGGTACCCATGTTTTCTATGCTTGTAAGCGATATACATATGTAATTCATATGTATATATGTTTTATGTAGATGATAAAGGTAGATAAACATAGATAATAGATATCAACAATAATCACTTATACCATTGGACATCGGGATTCTTCTTGGCGCCAAGGCTTGTACTGGGCCAAGCCGCAGACATCAAGGTGCCACTGTCAGCGATCTGTTAAACATAGGATTAAACCATATACCAGGTATAATGTTTAACAGAATATATATAGGCCATATCTGGATATATGTATCTCCATTATCACAATGAAAACCATAGAATGGAGATAAGGCCATCCTGGTAGCAATGAATCGACCGTCTGGGAGCTTTTCAAAGGGAATGGTTCTTGATAGGGGGTAGGAATAGCATATCCTTTTGATCTTTTTGTATACCCCTTGAACCAGAAATTGAAGCAGCAATATAGCAGCTCGGAAGATCATGGATTCCACGTGTCCAACAGCAACTATGTTTTTGCATGTGGTGCAGTGGTTGCAGAGGTTGTTTTTGTCCAGATGTATGTTGTTTCTCTGTGGGGACACTTTCAGCAAGGCAGTGGATGGAGAGATTTTTTAGGGGATCAATCCGGTTACGCTTCTGAGAATACTGAGAGGTTTGTCCATGGGTTCCAACCTCAAATAGCCATTGAAAATATGGACGCTAATGATCAATTTGCCAATGATCAATCAAAGCTAATGATCAATAACCATTTTAACAGATCATTGCTTTGCCATCTCAAAAACGAGGATTGTGGCCGCAAATCAGCATGTTGGATGGCTCAAGCAGCAACCAAATCTGGTTGACATCACACTTCCAGGGTTCTTATGATCATTCTCATGGTCTTTGAACATATAGAAGGCACTTGTATCGATATTTTTTCATTGGAACTGACGGTTAATCGCCACGATTGACTTCCACATTTTCGCCACGTTGCTGCTGACTGCCAGGCTCTGACGGAAAATATCAACGAGGCTCCAAAACCTCGCGTCATGTGCGAAGCCATGTCCCACATCTGATTCAGATTAATGGGAATCTATAGGGATTTAATAGGATTTACCAGAGGGTACTGCACTATATAATGTACACTGCTATGTATATGTATATGTATATGTATATGTATATGTATATGTATATGTATATGTATTTGTATATGTATATGTATATGTATATGTATATGTATATGTATATATAGGCATTTATACATTTGATATAGTATGTATATATACATACATACATATATACACATATGATTCTCTATTGTGACATAGAATTATGTACATCTTTGTTGGCTATTCCCAGCCTCAACATGGAGAACAAACTCCCTCCGCAAACGCTGCAGTATGGCAGATTGAACACCGGCTCCAAGAGAACGGCCTGGGGACCTAGTTCGGTGACCAGTATAGCTTATAATATGGCTTATAATATGGGTATGGGTCAATACCTATAGATACATTTTTAGTGGGATGAACATCCATTTACCAGCTATTTTGGGGTTCACTAGGTACCAGGGTTTTGAACCATCCCCATATGGCTTATATAAGGTTGTACCCCCCATGGTTAAATGGGTTGTACCCCAATAATGTTAGGGTTTCAGGTTGAATCTTCACCACCAATCCCCCAACATCAGCAACACCCTAGCCATAACGGATCAAGCGTTGAGGCCTCGAGGAGTAGAGCCGCTGTGCAGGAGGAGGCAGCGGCGGATGGCCTCCCAAATGGCTCGTTTAATGGGAAACATGGTACTATGTAGGTATATAATGGCTATAAATCATGTCAATAGCTAGATCATCCAATGGATTTAGGGGTACATACACGATTTCGATTTTCAGATGAACGGTGATTTAAGAGAGGGTAAACCAGCATAGATGTGGAAACCCATCGTGAGACCCGTTCGGAACATGATCTACACATTTGGTGGGTTTTCCACATCGAACTGTTAGTTTGCAAGAGGGTAGCATGATTTATCCACTTAAATATAAGGATATAATGGCAATCTTTTCTTGAGTTTTTAGAGGGATTTAAATCTCGTAAGGGGGATTTCATAGGGATTTTTATGGGATAATGTATATATATAACATAACTAACTACATATGGTTATCTAATGGGAATATGATATCAGATGGTAATTTCTTACAGTTTGCGAACTGGTAGAGATGGCCCATCTAATGAGTGTTGATTTACCTATTATTCCAGTGGTGATTTTCCATTGCGATTTTAACTTATCAGAGGAGAAGTATTCTGACTATTTATTTTTCTGGAGGGATATAACATTTTGCTGGTCAAAAAGAATTCGAGATGCAATGTCCAGGATTTGGTGGATGAAACACAATTTGATCAACATATTCTTTTAGGGGACTGCGCTAGTCCCAAGAAAATTCGGAACACCTGAAATTTTGTCGACAATATCAAACCGGGGGATTGGATCAATAGCACAAATACTGATAGAACAGTAAACCTGAATTAATTACCCTCTGGTTATGTCAAAATAGCTATTGAAAATGACCATTTATAGTGGATTTTCCCATTGAACATGGTGGATCTTTCCATAGTTATGTTAGTAAACCTGAATATTACAAGCAAAGTTCCGGATAGACGAGCAATTGCTGGACATTTTTGGCTCCAGAATCGAGGATTTCCCCAACCTAGATTCAAATCACAGACCAAGCAGCCTCAATGACTTGTCAGAAATGGGTGGGATTGGAAAAGTCTATGGCATTACACTCAATCCCACAATTGGTACACTGATGATAATATATAGATTGAACCGAGATGTCATAATGATTAACTCTTGAATCTACCCTCTTCCTTACCACATTCCACATTGAGAATTGGGAAGGTTCTCCCAAGATATCCCAAAATCGTCTTTGAGGGAATGATTCACCGACATCCCTCTAGTTGGAGCTGAATAATAACAACACGAGTAACAACAAGAAGAATAATAATACTAGTAACAACACTATAGTGATCCCCAAATGGATGGAAAAGTAAATTGATAGACACTTTCCCACCTATTTGGGGATGACTATACACTAATATCAATAATACCCATTCTCGCGTTGCAATTTTGTGTGTCTCCATGATCCCCATGAGTTGTTGCTGGGTCATTTTGAGTCGTCCTTATATCCAAAAATCACCATTCTAACCAAGCTCATTATCCCAAGAACATCTGATATTATCCAAAAATGTCAAACTCATTCCACAATTTCCCAAGATTATCACAGCACTTCCTAAAATTCTCCCAAAGTTTCCCAATTTTATTCCCATATGTCATATTGTCAAAAGATGGATTGTGGATGGCCATGTATCGATTTTCATAGGGTTTTATAGATGCATTGTAAGGATTCCCACAATGGAATGGCTGACCATAGACCATTCATGCCATAGAACTTGATTATCACAATCTATCAAGTTGGTGATATTTTCCATCATATTTCCCATCAATACACCGATATATTGTTTCCAGCTATTTTCAGATATTTCCAGATATGTCCCATCATTATCCTGAATGCCTTCCAGTAAATTGAAATAGACCCTGGCAGATAGGGGTTGAACAATTAGTTTCAACTAGAAAATGGCAGGCTTTCAGGGTCTTCCAGATATTTCCAGTAAATCAGCAGATATTTCATCATCTTTCCCAATAGGTCTCTGTGAATTTGGCAGAGAAAAAAGATATGCCCAGATGTGTTTTCATATACATTTAACGGTCATTCCCCCCAACGTATCACCAGATATTTCATAATATTTACCATCAAAATCCTCCTGTAAGTCCATATATTTCCATAAAAATACCACATATTTATTCCATATATTTCCATATATTTCCATATATTTCTATAATATTCCATAATTTCCATATATTTCCATAATATTCCATAATTTCCATATATTTCCACATTTTTCCATAATATTCCATAATTTCCATATATGTCCATAATTTCCATATATTTCCATAATGTTCCATAATTTCCACATATTTCCATAATATTCCAGAATTTCCATATATTTCCATAATCCATAATTTCCACATATTTCCATAACATTCCATAATTTCCACATATTTCCATAATATTCCATAATTTCCATATATTTCCATAATATTCCATAATATTCCACATATTTCCATATATGTCCCATGATTCTCCCCACGATTTCACCAGTAAATTACCCGTTTTCACACAGCGCATGTTGCCACAGGGCCCGGTCAAGTTCCACAACCGGCAATCCAGGTGACGGTAGTGGTGGAAGATGTATATAGATTAGGGGTTTCCACCACTGATGGGTGAAGACGTTTGTAATATTTTTGTAATGATAGTATTCCCAAAATATGATGTATTAATGATGGTTGCCACTGAATATAGGATGTGGATGTTTTTTTTTTTTTTCGGAAGACTTATAGTGGTGGATTAGATGCATATATTTATCTATGTTGGTGGAATTAATGGAAACATGGTGGAATGGAGGTTTCGTGAAATGAGGCTACCCCCCGGTTTCATCATCCATTGATAGATGGGATTTTCCATGAACTCAACCATCCAGCTATTTATTGGGGATCCAGCATTTCCGGAAAGCCCCATATACCGACATTTTATATGAGATAATAGGGGTATAATAGGTATACAATTGGTGGATATATACTGGGATTCAATGGGACTACCAAGATAAAGGGGGATTCAATGGGACTATCCTATATTAGGGATATAGTCATGGGAGATATAGATATACATTTGCTGGATATATATCAATGGGATATTGATGGAAATATAATGAACATACACATACTAATTTAATGGGATATTACTGGACATATAATGGGATATATAACCAACTATAGTCGAATATGTTATATATATACAGGGATATATACATATACTTATTTCAGATTTGTGAATTATTGTAACTCAGCTAGATACACATGGGGAAAACATACACAATATTGGGGATATCTAATGGGGATATACTTGTATATCCAACTAATATGATATGGGTGTGTCTGAAAATGGGGTATACCCCAAAATTGTCCTCATTCAATAGGACCATAAACCATCTGATTTCGAGGTACTTCATTTTCATTCAAACCCACACATATATATATATACACACATACGTATATATATATACATGATTATAGATACCTATGTGCATGGATATCATATGACATGAGATATTCGACTGCAAGAAAAAAGTTGATTCACATGTTGCCACCGTTTTTGTTCGAGCTCTGGCAGGATCGAGCAGCTATCGGAACGCTTGAAATTGACGGTGACCAGCAGCTCCAGGGGTTTCTGGATGGGGAATGGAGATATACTCGGTGGGGGAGGCCACAAATACATACATAGATACATACATACACACATACGTATATATATATAGTATGTAATATAGAGTAGGGTCTTCCAAATTGGCCATGGAACCGCCTATTTCTCGTCCGCTGTATCTCTTCTATCTACAGCATATATATATATGAATGATGAATGATTGATTTATGTCTGATAACTCCTCAACTGGAGTTGGGTTGTCTCGGAATGGGAGATTCACTCACAAGTGTTTTAAGCCATTGGATGGAACGGGCTCGGCCCTTTCTGGGACACTTGCCATCTACTGAAATTTGGGTGGCCAGCTTTGGGCTTTCCCATGACGTTCTTTCTGGTGAATTCTGATGCATCACTCAGGATGGCGAGTTTTACATGTTCTAACATTTTCCTCGTTTTTTTCCACAACTCAGCACACTTTTCCCGCATTTTCCCGCATTTCTCCATCATTTTTGCACGCCAAAAAACCAGAAAGAGACGGTCTCTCGACCGTCTTCGGTCAGGCGTCCCACCCCACCACCTTCTTCGCGCGAACGGTGGAGCGGCCGGAGGCACGGCACGGACACGAGGGCAAGCTGGCTGTAGCAAGCGCGGGAAAGATGCAGCAAAGACGGTTGAACATTATAAACTGTTGATACGTATATAATCTTATATATATAACATATCATATCATTGGTTCATAATATATAACCAACAGTCTTTTCGGACTATGGAATGATCATTGACATGATAGGTGTATAATCATGGCTGATCATTGGTTTATAGCATGGAAAGTGAAGTGATTTGACGTCTAGGAGATCGAGCTGATGCCTAGCATGACCCGGTCCAGATTCTCGTGGCGCGGTGAAGGAAACTGAGGTAAGATGTGGGTATGGGTCAATACCTATAGATACATTTTTAGTGGGATGAACATCCATTTGCCAGCTATTTTGGGGTTCACTAGTTACCAGGGTTTTGACCCATCCCCATGTAGCTGGGAAACTGCGGGAAATCATTGATTTGTACACACCAAATAATCACAAACCAATGGGGAGAATGATGATCAACCTTTGGATTTTCCAGTTGCCAGTTTCATAGCCATAGCAGCAACGATGCAATGAATAAGAAATGTTTCAGAACAAGCGATGGGAATATCATAAACCATGAGAATATGATGGGAATTTGCATCCATCATGGGCATACCATCATTTAACCAAGCAATGAATGGGGAACCTTGCAAACAATGGAGATGTCAATTTTTAGATATGCTTTGATGGAGACAGGGAATTCGAAGGAATATATTGTTCGGCCTATGGGCCTATCGGGCCGCAAATTTATGAATTAGGTACTGGAAGGAGTCTTGCATCCCATGGACACTTCACGATTGCAAAGGGTCCTCATGATCATCCACATTTTCATCATAGCTTTATGCATGGACACAGCACGTGTGTATACACATTGGCTGCAGAACCACAGACAACTGCATACTATAATGTTGAGTAATGTTTGTCTTTACTGTGCCTTATCCTCGTCCACCTTCGTCCTCCTCGTCTTCCTTCGTCATCCTCCTTCGTCCTCCTCGTCTTCCTCCGTCTTCCTCCGTCTTCCTCCGTCTTCCTTCGTCTTCCTTTGTTTTCCTTCGTTTTCCTTCGTCTTCCTTCGTCTTCCTTCGTCTTCCTTCGTCCTCCTTCGTCCTCCTCGTCTTCCTTCCGTCCTCCTCGTCTTCCTTCGTCCTCCTCCTTCGTCCTCCTCGTCTTCCTCCGTCTTCCTCCGTCTTCCTTCGTCTTCCTTCGTTTTCCTTCGTTTTCCTTCGTCTTCCTTCGTCTTCCTCCGTCTTCCTCCGTCTTCCTTCGTCTTCCTTCGTCTTCCTTCGTCTTCCTTCGTCTTCCTTCGTCTTCCTTCGTCTTCCTTCGTCTTCCTTCGTCTTCCTTCGTCTTCCTTCGTCTTCCTTCGTCTTCCTTCGTCTTCCTTCGTCTTCCTTCGCCTTCCTTCGCCTTCCTTCGTCTTCCTTCGTCTTCCTTCGTCGTCCTTCGTCGTCCTTCGTCTTCCTTCACCGTCTTCCTCACCGTCACCATCACCATCACACCATCCCACCAACCATCAAGAAGAGAAGAAACATCAGCAGAAGAAGAAGATCATCAGAATCAAGCAGCAGAAGACCGCAGAAGAATGAAGAAGAAGGAAGAATAAGCAAGAATGAATGGCATCGCATCAGAAGAAGCAATAAGCAAGAAGCATCATCATCATCATCATCATCATCATCATCATCATCATCATCATCATCATCATCATCAGCATCATCATCATCATCATAATCAAAAACCATCACCATCACAGAACCATCATCACCATCACCATCACCATCACCATCACCATCACCATCACCATCACCATCATCATCATCATCATCATCACCATCATCATCATCATCATCACCATCACCATCACCATCATCATCACCATCACCATCATCATCATCATCATCACCATCATCATCATCATCACCATCATCATCATCATCACCAGGATAACATGTACATTTACATTTACATTTGGCACTCACAGATATGTACACTTAGGCAGGACGACTTCGCGGGCTACGTCGTGCAATTGAATCCTGAAGGCTGGGGATCAGACAAAAATCCTAAGAAGAATGGGGAATTTATTTTAAATTCCTATTCAAACTGACCACAAATATCCACAAATTGAGGCATCCTCCCATTGTCTGGCACCAAGGAACAGACTAAGAAAGATGGGGATCCAAACTGGAGATGTCATGGAGATTCAATGGAGATACAATGGAGAGATGATGGAGATGCAACCTTCAGAATGGGGCTACCCCTTTTTTTATGGCAGTTTTAGTAAGGGACACGGCGGATGAATCATGAAAATTTGGGACACTCTAGTTTTGGACCAACTACTGTATATGGGATAATTTGATATAATTTGCAGAACAGAACATCCTAATATTTTACTTGCAAATCCCCAGGGACCAAGGTTGGTCTTCGTGGAATATCAATGGGAACACCAGTAGCTATAGTGAAACTTTGAGACATGAAACACAAGAGTTGAGCAACCTTGGGAGAGAATGGTTCTCTAACCGGGATCCAAGTAGCATTTGTAGCCGAATCACACTGATCCATCTGAATCATTTATTGAGGAACTTTAGCACTAAAAAAAGGGATGGAGTTCCACTCAAAGAACACTGAAGTGCGCTCTAACTAGGCACCTCTCAATATCATCTGAACCCATTGTTGATTATATCCCATCAATGTCACTGCCCATTAATATCCATGCATCATATTCCATTAGATCACCATCAACTGAGCCAAAATCCTACGTCATCAACCAGTCGATCGCCTGATCCTCGGCTCTGGAACCGTCAGACTCGGACAGTGACTCTGAGAGAGGTGTAGCGCTGGGGCCCCAGCTGGGCATAGGATGATTCTCGATGCTTCTGCGTCACTAGGAGTGAAGCGAATGTTGGTTGGAGGCCGTGGGTAGTTGGACCACGGCTTGGCACAGACCCGGCGAATGTTTCGTTGCATGATCTTCAACCACCTCATTTCCGAGGTGGATTGCTCTGACCCATCAGCTCTTTGTTTAATTTGCAATCCACCGGAATGGAAATCCATGGAAAATCCCATGGAAAATCCCATGGGAAATCAATCCACATTCCACCAATTTCCACCATTCACAGTGCTATCATAGTAGGAATTCCCATGGTTTCACCATGGGGAAATCCACATCGCGGAAATGACCCCAGGAAACCGTTGACGCAGTTCACCACAGAGCAGGCAAGGATCGACTCAGCGGATCGGGCCCCTGGGGAGATGGACCTACAACGTGTCCGTCAATATCATAGAGTTATGGATGGATAGATACATAGGTGGGTAGATGGATAGATAGATCGATAGCTGTGAATCAAAATTTGTATTGCACCCTGGGGTCAAGGGATTTTTCCATTTTGAGTGGTCGCAGGTGAGTCGCATGGAGTTGGTGGCCTTGAATCATGCGACTTGTCGATGACAGGTGAGGAGAATCACTGCCTAAGGGTGGCTTAAAACCATCAATTTACCAGATGAACATCATTTGGGACGAACATCAATTTACCAGCAATTTGATGGCTTTTTTCAGCGTACCTGGCTTTTGAATTACGGATGATATCTCAACAACCAGTTTTGGGCTTGTGATCCTGACACCCTCAAAATTTTGCTGAGACACGACCAGGTATCATCTTCAAGACCCCATTTTTGGGTTTCACGGGTTCCATGTTAAACCTGGGGCGTGTAGAACCCGAAATGACTACCCGGGGTAGCCAATAGAAACCATGGTGACTTTGTCCGAAGATTTCGGGGAAAACACCCAGATCCCATGGTTTGGGCATCATTTTCCCAGTGGCATGTGGCTTTGTCTATAGGGTACCCTGGTGGGGTACCCCCCATGCCAATGGGATGATACTGAGGTCAAGATGCAGACGTTGAAACAACGCCCCTTGGTGTGCGGTGACATCAGTGGCCCCTATCAATTTTGGATGGTTAAAAAAACACCCCCCCTAAAAGATGAAAAGCTGGAAACCTGGAAATATGAGGTAAATAATGGTAATATCATCCGTCCTGGAAAATCTGGAAACAGAAATTGCAATCACTCAAAAATGTCAGCTGCCAGTCCCAAGAAGTTCAACAGCGGCTTCGTCCGCCACCAGTTCTAGCAGCTTCGGAATCGAAAACGGGACCCTGAAAGGTTCCGATGGTGGAACATCCCACAGCTGGATTGTTTCTATCCACTTGGGGATTTTTTTGGGGTTTCCAGCATGGCCCTTCCAGATCTTCAAGGCATTGCGGAGGAAGGCGTGCATTCTATTCGCGCGCCTGGACGCTCAGTGTCGAAATGGGGCCCACAGATTTCAGGTCGAAATAGAATTGGATATCGATTCGGTGATGATTGGGGATGTTTCGGAATTGATTCTTTATGATTCTATATATAGTATTTTTCCAGTTTTTTCTGGATTGATTCTCCACTTAAAAAAACACACATACGGTACGGTACTTGCGATTATTTTGAACGTTTCTTCGCTATTGAACCATGGATTTGACATCTTTGACGGGGGAGTCCTTATCCGTCAGCGACATTTTGAGGCGTCGGACCTGCCTGCAAACTAAGTTTGCATCCCTCTGGCAGCTTGGCAAATACCCTTCGGTCATCAAACATGGCTTGATGGGAAATCTCCTCTATAGATGGGAAGGTTTAGTGGGAACATCATTTATACCATGGGCATCATTCATTACCAGTAATAGGCACAGTATACCGACTGAATGATATATTATTGCTATCAGTTAGATAATCATGGTATAGGCATACTGTTGATACTTGGCATTCAACCAGAAATAGACGGTATGACCATGTATGACCAATGATCACAATTTTCAAGGGGAATCATTGAACCGTATCGATAAATGAGGATTCTACGTACTTGAATTTTGCATTTCATCAAGAGCAAATCGGGACAAACATCCATTGGTGGTTTGTCGTAAACGACAACTTGCAGGAAACTCCTACTATATACAATCAATGTCCGTTGAGGCATGTTAATCCAAGTTAGGGTTTGAATCACAAAATGGTGATGTAGAGAAAACAGCAGGGGATGTGAATCATGATAGTATGAGACTTTGAGTAATCATGACATCATTTTCTAGTATTATGAGATTTTTTACCAGCAGTTCCTATCAGATGCATCTCGGGACTCGCAATCCCTCCCTTTATCAACTGGCGCAGCCGTAGGCAACTGCTGCGGATGCGGCAAGATGGGACGTCTCTCGTCGCAATGCTTCCGGTGATCACTGGGAACCAGAAATCTCCTGGAAAGGGGAGATGTTCACGGGATAAATCCTCCATAAGGTCCATAAATGAAAGGTTTCCCCATTTTCAATAGAAAATACACCGGATTTGCGTTTTCATGCCAGAAATTAGTGGAGGGTAGGCCCAAATGCATGTTGGAAGATGGGAACAGCCGAAGTTGTTGGAAGTTTGCATCGAAATGCCACCTAGGATTTCGCCCGAGGAGAACTACTATTTGCAGCTTGGTCTCAACAGTGGAGCGGCGAAATCTTGTGGGCTTTGTCTGAACATGGGGTACCTGGGGTAACTATCCCAAATTTGATGGAAACAGTTACACTTTTCCTCACTTACATGGCCATGTATCCAGGCATCCCCCATTTTTTGGACACACCCATGACTGGTGCTGTTGATGTTGCACAAAGGATGGCGCAGCTCCGGTTCCTGTGTGGTAGCCAAGGAGATGTTTCGCAAGAGATGATCAACATCTGACGATTCCATCCTATTCCATGGTGAGTGCTTAGAAAATCCTTGGAATTCTTGATCTTGACATGGATTTCTCCATGATTTTTTTGGGGCAACCCAAAATTTGCCCCTCAAATGCTGGGGAAAACGGCGATTGTTTCCTCAGCCGTTGGCCAAGGCCGTTCTTCAACGAGGTCCCGCAAGAATTGTTGGGGGAACCCAGGCTTTGGTGGTGACGACTTGGTGATCTTAAGAGGTGACAAAGAGCTGACCATGTGGATGGCTGTGTCTGAAAGTGGGCTATCGGTATACCGGTATACCCCCAAAAAATTGCCCAATTTTCAGACAGACCCCCAAGTGTGATTTGATGAATTGAGAACTGCTGTCATTGAGCTGTTTGGGGGATAGGGGTGTCATGTTTGAAACATCTCGATCAAACCTAGATTCCTAGATGGTTGATTGTAGAGTCAAGACGCTATCCATAGCTCTTGGCTCTCAGAAGGACTCTAAATTCAGCATCCTCAAAGAACGATGATCATTTGGTACAGACAGGTATTGCACTTGCCTGGTCTGAATCTCTGCACCAAACATGTTTGGGATTTGGGTCATGTTCAAAAGATGATGGCTATCGGATTTGCTGTCCCATGCCCTTCTTAGTTGCTTCTTCTAAAGGTTCCATCCCCATCCTGCAAGCTCTATGGGGATGGGTTAAAACCCATGACCTGAACCAATAAATGGGTGGAGAGACATCCATTTACACCCAAAAACCTTAAGGTACCAGGATTTGAATGGATTTGAAACCATCCCAATATAGAATATTATCTTATAATATCGATATGGCTCCAATTATCGACCCTCCAATTATCAGTTAATATCACCCCCCAAACAAGGTGGTGCCCTGTTTGTGTTGGTTTACGTGCACCCCATTCAGTGGCCCACCTCGAATGCCGGAGCTTTCCTCTGAGGTATGAGACCATTGTGGAGCACACGACCACCCAGACCTACGTGCCAGGCATAGGATAGCTGGGAAGCCAACATTTTAGGAGAAAATCTTGAAGACACGTGTCTTTTGATCGACCATTGGACGTTTTTCTGGATCCAGTCCTAGTCTTCGTGCCAAACGAACTGATTAAGCATGCAAAATTTGAAGTTGTCGAGCTTGTGCCACGTTTGTCACATGGGAGGTGTTGAGGAATCAAGAAATCACCATAAGTCAGACAGGACAATGACCGGAATGCATCATCGGTTACAGAGCAGATTTCCCGTCACCCTAAGGAAGACTTCAAACTTGTTAAATGTGAAAATCTGGGGCATCCAGATCGAACTATTTTGAACATTTTTAATCTCCAACAAACTCCTGGTGTCCAGAGATCTCAGATGCACTCGTAACCGCAGGCTGCCACCTCTTTAGTGAGGGGGAGACGGCCAACAGCCTCTTCCTGATTCTCACTGGGCAGGTCCACTGGTTGCATCAGAAACACCCTGAGACGCCGTTTTTTTTGACGTTTTGTGGCATTATAAGCCCTAGAAATTGGGATCAAACCCACCCATATAACTATGGTTAAGTTATATAACGTCTCAACTTATGGGGTTATATTGCTTCTTGCAACTAGCATGCCACATACTATGGTGGATGGTGCCTCGGTTGTCCACGCGAAAACTGACTCATTATTGACTCATTATACATGCCAGAACACTTCAGTTATGCACACGTAGACGTAGAGGGCATCTTTGATGATAGTTAGCCATTGTATATTATAAACTAATGATAGCTATGACAGTTGTGATGGTTGTGATAGTAATAGTTAGCATAATCATATAGGCCGATGGACGATGATGATGATGATGATGATGATGATGATGATGGTGATTATGATGATGATGCTGCTGCTGATGATGATGATGATGATGGTGATGATGATGATGATGATGATGTTGATGTTGATGTTGATGCTGGTGGCGGTGATGATGATGAAGAGGATGGTGATGATGATGATGATGATGTTGATGTTGATGTTGATGCTGGTGGCGGTGATGATGATGAAGAGGATGGTGGTGATGATGATGATGATGATGATGATGATGATGATGATGTGGTTGTTGATGATGGAGCTGGTGAAGAAGATGTTGATCATGATCTCGATGACGATCGTGATGACATTGAGGACGAGGATAAGGACAATCGTTATGGCGAAAATGACTACTATAGTTATTATAAGATATTGTAAGTATGGTTCTATTACCACTTATATTATATATATGTACATCGCAGCTATAAAACTAGAACTATGACTTTAGAACCAGGTGCTGTGATAACTTCTGACCTGAAATAACTTGACCAACTTTTTCCATTCGACAGGTGCACTTGCGGAGCGAAACCCACGTGGCCATGGACTATGACACTATGAAGTCTTCGCCCGCACTGTGACATGGCGTTTTTCACCGTGGAGGGAATCATAGGGAATCAGGGTGATCTTCACCGGGGAGATCAGTGGAATATGAACCTGGTTGGTGGTTTGGAACATGAATTTTATTTTTCTATATATTGGAAATCATAATCCAAACTGACTTTCATATTTTTCAGAGGGGTAGGTCAACCACCAACCAGTAACCAACTAAATGGTGATATTAACCCCTGGAGAGTTCAGTGATATTAACCAACTAAATGTTTTTTTTTTTGCAATGAGTAATGGGATTTCAGCAACACCCCTGGAGATATTCACCAATTATGGGGTTATTAATGGTGAGATTATGCACATGTTTTTTTTTGAACATCCCCCCAAAATTCTATATGTATAATTCGTCCCCTATCAAAACGGCCATTGAAAACCCCAATTTTAAGGGAACACTCCGCGTCTCGAGTCAGGCTCTTACCACACGATCTCTTCAGCCAGTCTCGAGGCGAGGATATTACAGTAAATTCATCAAACATCAAACTCAGTGGGCATTTTTTTTAGCATAGGCAAATCAGAAAAGACTTCCGAGGTAATGAGTTTTGTTCGGTGATCCACCATTTATAGATGATTATCCCATATGACTATGGATCAATACCTATACATACCATTTTTAGGGAGCGATGCTACGGGTGCCCATACCTCCGGGAGCCAAGACGCTACGAATGAAGTCTTTAAACCACATTTTATAGATTTCACATATTCAATGGATATGCTGAAGAGAAAATTTACAGGAATCCCCGTATTTCATGGTAAAAACCATCGTTTCCTGTGGATTCAAACCTCATTTTCCCACCTTTTCACCAATGGCGAGGCTGA